AAAACTTCCTCCATTGGGATTGTATTCGAGGAAACCATCTTGCGGGAATTCTCGGTGCTCCAATGCTGATGTAAGTACCTGTTGTAGTATATTTTTACATCAGCATGTATTTTGTTAATCGGCGTGAATCCAACCTTTATCTGATCTAAAATTAGTTGTAGAAAAATGTTAAAGGCGCTAATGTTGATTTATATAAAGAAAACTACCTGGTAGTTTTGCATACTGAGCTGCATGAGTGTACTATCTCATATCATGCACATTACTGAATTGTAGTGCTGCTCTGGTTGCCCATTCATTCATTGTGTCAATGTTGCTTTTGTATTACCTTACCTAGCTGGTGATAGTTGTGCCATATTGTGTTAATTTGGTGTAGGCTAGTTTCCCAAACATTCGTTGTGTCAATGTTGATTTTCTATTATCTGACTTGGCCAATGATAGCAATGCTAGTGTGTTAATTTGGTGCAGGCTGCTGAAGATAAGAAGACAAACTCTAAAAATAGCAAGGCAACCTCATTGTTTCTTTCCAATAAATCTAGGCCAGGTAATATGGCAATAACTCCTGATTAATCTGTTTGGTTCCCCTCCTAATTTATGTTATAATGCAGTGGTCGAGACACTCTCCACTATCAATAATACAAGCCTGCCAAAATCGTCATCTGAATCTGTTCAGTATCCTCTGTCTCGAATGCAACGGAAAAAATGTATGTTTGTGAACCAATTAATGCTTGAAGCAATGATGGAAATGGTGGAGGAATCAGATGTGCAGATTCGTCCGCAACAACAACTGATCAATGTTTTCAGAGACAGTGTAGCAAAGCAGCAAGAACTTGCCCACATACTTATGGGCGTCATCCGTGCTGAGGTTGCAGATTGTGACGTTGTAGATCATTAGGTTTTGTTCATTTATTTGCACTGGCATCAATCTTTGATTACCAAGTGGATGTAATTTCCTGTAATATATGCTAGATGTGCAACATTTTTCCTTGTATGTTGTACCTTTGCTTGATCGGTTTAGGTCCTGTGCATAATTGCTCGTCGTAATGGGCTCAAATTATCCAATTTGGCCTAAAGACATGTACGAACTTTAGTGGCCCATTAAGTTAATGGGCCGTTACTAGGCCGAAAGTTAATGGTCGGCCTTCTTACCTCCCGGATCGTTAACAGGCCGACATCAAAGCGGGCAACAGGTGGGCCCATTTGATTTCACGGGCCGTTAACATGCCATTACTAAGTTTGGGCTACATATGTCCCAACTATACTGTGGGCCTTTAGCAGGCCGAAAGAGACAGCGGGCTTGTACTGGACCATGAAAAGCATGGGCCGCTAAGAGGCCGAAAGTTAGGTCATATTATAAATGGCTCAACCGTGTTGTAGGCCTTTAGCAGGCCGAAAGAGAAACGGGGCTGGTATTGGACCAAGAAGGGCATGGGCCGTTGAAAGGCCAAAACTCAGGTCCGACTACAAATGGCCCAACTCATTTATGGGCCGTTAACAGGTTGAAAGACACACAGGGCCAAGAATTGGCCCAACACTTAAATGGGTCTCTAAAAGGCCAAAACTCAGGTCCGACTACAAATGACCCAACTGATTTATCGGCCGTCAACAGGCTGAAAGACACACCGGGCCGGAAATTAGCCCAACACTTAAATGGGTCACTAAAAGGCCGAAAGGTGTACATCCTGAAAATTGGCCCATCCCTTGAATGGGTCGTTAATAGGCCGAAATCTCATCAGGCTGATATTGAGCCCAAATATATAGCGGGTTGTTAACGGGCTCGAACTGACGATGGGTTGCAATGGTGTAAAATCTTTAACGGGCCGTTGATGGGACGAATTGGCACATCTCGTATGCGCTGTGGGCTTAAATGGACCTGACACAAGTAGGAATTATATGGGCCGGCTTGCTAATTTTAAATGGGCCGGCCTTTTTCACCGGAATAGGCCACTATTGGGCCGTGCGACGTTTCGACCTAACATAGGCTCCTCCTGTCCAATGAGTGGATGACATATGTCCCAACGGTGAGGCAACACGTGTTTCCTCCGGCCAATGATGATTTTACACATGGAAAATCCCCATTGATCCGGGCTGTTAACGGATTACCGGATCCAAAATCGGCCCCGATAGCTTAACGGCGTTCCGTTACGGTGGATGTCACGTGTCGGTCACCCTTGACAAAAGCACTTCTGTGACGCGCAAATTATCGTCATGGAAGTGGGAACTTCCGTGATGATAATTTTGGTAATGTCATGGAACACTTCTAGGACAGCACATGTATAACTATATATTTTGATTCTGTCATAAAATCGTCATGGATGTACATGCATGACAGAAAACGTGACCTATTATGACAAACACGTATCATCA